TGTTAAAGAGTGCCAAGGCCACCCCCCACAGTTCCTAATTCAGTAGGTCTGTGGCATTTCTCACAGCCTCCCAGGGGATGCTGCTGCTGCTGGACCAAGGACCTCACTCTGAGAGCCACTGGTCTCCACGATGCAGATGCCAGCCTGCTGTCTGTCTCCACCCTGCACCACGTGGCAGCCCTGTGGCCAGGCTGTACTCCTAGTAAACCCACTAACTACTCCACCTGTATGGATCCTCAGTTTCCCCCAGGAGACAAGATGCTGAGGAAGAAACAGAAGCTGATAAACATCTGTATCCCCAGTTCCTGGGGTAGAACCAGGAGCTCAGCTACTACATGTGAGCAAATGGAAGAGGTGGAGTATGCAGATGTGGTTGGGGGGTGGGGGGAATAGGGCATAGACACAGGCCAAGGTGAACAACTGAAAACAATCGGAAGGGCCTAGTGGACTACAAGAATAATCAGCTGCTAGATATGGAGGCTACTTTTAAGTCGGCGGATCTTGGGTACAAGAAAAACAGGCACACCAAGGAGTCCTGGTGTGGCGCTGTACAATAAGCACTGGACTGCCAACCACAAGGTCAGTGGTTCAAACCTACCAGCTGGTCCACGGAAACCCTAAACAGGGTCACTGTGAGTTGGAACTGACGCCATGGCACTTAACAACAACACTAAAAGGAATCCTGCCAAGACTTCTGGGGTCATTTCTGGGGGTCACCAGCAGCAATTCCACAAGGATAGTCCAGAGAACAGCAGATAGGGAGATGCTAATATAGGCTGTGACAGAAGGAAAGTGGGGTGCTGCTAATAATGAAATGAAAAAAGACTAGAAGGAAATGCAGAAAACCCTCAGCACTGCTTGTTTTTAGGTAATCAAAACCTTCAGTGGCGTGGAACTTTTAGTACTTTTTCAAATGTTCTGTTCCCAGAACCTAACATGGTGCTCGTGGTCAATCAATGCGTGGTGGGTAAACGTAAAAAGCATGACCTGTTTATACATTAGGGCCGGGCTAGTGTAGGGAAGGTTTTTGTTATTGTTAGCTGTCACTGAATTGATTGAGTCAAGGTGACCCCAGGTGTGCCCAGCAGAAGTGTCCCATGGGTTTGAAACCCATGTGGCCTTTCAGAAGCAAATAGCCAGGCCTGTCTTCCAAAGTGTCTCTGTGTAGGCTCAAACTGCTAATCTTGGGGCTAGTAGTCATGCACTTAACCATCTGCACCACCCCGGGGGCTGGAAACAGCTTTAAATGGAGCTAAAAGATATCCTGGCCTCGGCACAGTGCAGCTCTCCCAGGAATGCCCACCCCACCAGTTCTCACTTCCCAGACTCCTCTGGCTAGGGGCCACATTCTCCTCTGGCCAGGGGCCTGGCTGACTTCTCTTGGGCCCAGGTCCAGCCCCCAAGTCAGAATTAAACCATTGCTATGCAGTCGAATCTGACTCATACTGATCCTAAAGGACAGAGAACTGCTCCATAGGATTTTTAAAGTTGTAATTTTACTAAGGAGCTCTGGTAGCATAGTGGTTACGAACCAGGCTGCGAACCTTAAGGTCAGCAGTTTGAAACTACCAGCTGTTCCGTGGGAGAAAGATGAGGCTTTCTGTTCCCATAAAGATTTACAGCCTTGGAAACCCTGTATAGGGTCACTATGAGTCGGAACCGACGCCACGGCACATAACCACCACCAATAATTTTACTTGGAGTCACAAATGTGAACTAGAAGCAGTAGTCAAGAAACCAAGCAGCATTTACATTGGGCAAATCAGTTGCCAAAGACCTCTTTAGAATGTTAAAATGCATGAAAAAAAATGACATTGAGAAAAAAAATGAGAATAACTTATTGAATGGAAAACTGATTCGCTCTGTACACCTTCACCCAATTCACAGTAACAAGTTAACTGATAAATAAACTGTCAAAAAGCAAAAATATTACTTTGAGGACTAAGGTGCACCTGATCTTAGCCGTAGTTTTAAACACCTCATATGCATTTGAAAGTTAGACAATGCATAAGGAAGACTGGAAAAGAACTGATTCATTTGAATAATGACATTGGAAAAGAATATTGAATATATCTCATGGACTGTAAGAAAAGTAACCAAATCTTTCTTGGAAGAAGCACAGTCAGATGCTCCTTAGAAATGAGGATGACAAGACTTTGTCTCACATCTGTTGGAGGAAAGAAAAAGAGGAAGACCCTCAATAAGATACATTGTCTTATGCCAGAGATGGAGGCAGAGACAATGATGTGAGAGATGGGGCAGCTGGGGACACTAGACTCATGGAGGGAGAGGGGCTGTGTGCTGACGGCCGGGGGGCAGGCTTGCAGGGTGTGCCCTTTGTTTGTTTGAATGGTTATATATGTTCCTGAGTGCTTTGGTGTACATCCAAAAAACAAACCAAGGGGGAATGGAAGCAAATGCTGTAGAATGATGATGCTTGGAGGGGATTGTAATCATTGCAATGAAACAAAATACAAGAGGATGAATGTAAAGCCGATGTTCTCCCATGTAAACTATCACTCAATTCACAATAAAAACTTATTTAAAAAGATAGATTGGCTTAAAGCACAGATCAGGCCTGCCCCCAAGGCCACCTTGGCCCAGGTTAGACCTGATAGCAAGTTCTCAACCCCACAGCCACACAAAGCCTGGTCAGCAGTAGACCACTGCCAGGGAACATAGGGAGACCACAATGCCCCACCAGAGATCCCACAGGAGGGGCGGCCTGCTGCCAGAAGGTGTCTGGGAGAAGAAACAGGTGAGGAAGCCCAGAGCAGGGACCAGGAGTGGGGCTTAACATATGCAGAGTGACACCAGATGTCAAGGGCTTGCCCCTTCTCCTCCTCTTATCCCCCGACAATACTGGGCTCTGATTAAAACTGAGGCCAAGAGAAGGAACATGACCTATCCAAGGTAACACGACAGCAAGGGACCCAGCCTGAATAAAACCCTATGCCCATCAGACCTAGATTGCCTCCAGGCTGGGGCAGGGTGGGGAGGACTCCCTGGAGGAGGAAGCATTTGGATATAGGGGGCAATGCACCTGCAACAGAGGCTCAGCATCCCCAGAGTGTGAAGCTGGTGGGGGCAGCTCCCTGACCTCCCATGGAGCAAACAGGATACGGCAGGGGAGGCCCTGCAGGGCAACAGGCCCACACGTGAGGGTGACAACAAACAGGACCTGGTCAGCAGGGACAGGAGGGGAAGGGAAGGCCCAGTAATGAGCTCCCCTGGGTTCGGGCCTCCTTCTGGGACCCAGAGACTGTCACTACTGCAGCACCAGGAGGCAGAGTGTAATTAGCCAAGAGCTGCACCCTCCAGGTAGCCAAGCCCTCTGGCCTAGCAGCCCCCTGGTCCCAGCAGCTGCTAAGACCTTCCAGGCCTAGTGCCCACCACCTGCAGGAGAAAGCTCTAGCGCAGACAGAAACATGAGGCTGGTCCATAGTCCTCCAGAATCAGGGAGGACCCCTGCAGCTCAGTCCTGGGGCTCTTCCTCCACTAGCCAGAGGGAGCGAGGAGGAGCTGCACTGGGGGGCCTCCTGGAGTTAGGTCCAAAGTGGGGGCACAGCACACTGGAGTTCCTCCCTACACACCACCACAGAGGACCCGATTGAAATCTGGGGCAGCAAGGCAGGTGTGAAGCTGTGGGGTAAGTAGCTGGTCAGAGAAACCTGTCCTGAGCCTTCTATATGCAGGCTCCTTCTTGGCTTAATGGGAAAACAGAAGTTGGGTTAACTCTGCTTCTAGGGAGCTCACCACAAGAGGAGAGATCACAAGTCAACAGGTAATTATGGGACACATATGGGTCACAGGGAGGATGCCACCTTCAACCCCAGACTGAGCCCAGGCCTAGCTGGGGGGGCGCTCAGAGGCAGTGGGGCATTGTTCCATGTTGAAACCTGGGGACTAGAGATTGGGGACCAACCCTCCACCTAGAAAACAGCTCCAGGCTCCACCCTTTCTGGGTTTGGGAGCCCCAAGTGTGAAGTGATCCCACAGGAGTCCCTGAGGGCCTCCCAGCTCTGAGGTTCTGAGTCCATAGGCTGCAGCAGTGGACTCTGCAGAGACCCCAGGGTTTACAGTACCCTCTCCCCCTCTCCTCATTGGACCATCAGGGGTCAGGCCTGGAGTGGGAGTAGTGGACAAGCCTGATTCAGAGGACCGGAGGACAGGGCATTCCCCAGTCTCCGTTGCAGTTGAGGGCACAGCTCCCTCTGGTGGCTGAAGGTTGCCTTGCCTTATATTATATGAGCATTGCCTACCATCAATCATTATGAAGCACAGCACTGCACCAGGAACCACAAACCAGTTTCCTGTTTCACCCACACCACTCCCCAGAAATGTAGCTACTCCATCGATTCTGATTTCTCACATAAGTAACCTCAGAAAGTCACACAGATACCAAATGGTGAGGCTGCGTCTTGAACCCACACCTCTGAGACTCAGATGCCCTGTGCTCTTAAGTGTCACCCTTAGTCCCTTATAGCGAGAAGAGGAAGGGGGAACGAGAAAAGGGAATTGCTTGTATTTGCTAGGATGGCCTCACAATTCCCCACCCATATCTCTCTCCACAGTAGTTGTTAAGTGCCCTGTAGGGTTTCTGAGGAACGGCTGGTGAGTTTGAACCACCTGGCCCTGGAGGAGCAGCACTGTACTTCAAACTACAAAGTCAGCAGTTTAAACCCACCAGCTGCTCCTCAAAATTCCTATACAGGGTAGCTATGAGTTGCAACTGACTCAAAGGCATTTAGCAACGCCTTTGTGGTTCAAACTGACCTTATGGTCGAGTGCTTATCCTTCGGCACCACACCAAGACACCTCTCTCCACAGCTCTTTGATACACTCAGTGTGGAAGAGCCGTGATGTGAAGCCCACCTCATTCCCAGCACAGGCATTCATAAAGGTCTCAGCGGTAGGTTCAGTTGCCCCTCTGCCAGCTGGTGCAGCGAAGGCTGTAGCACAGTTAACAGCCCCCAGCACCCTCCACACGCTAGCCTCACCTTTTGCCATAGCGACTCTCGGGAGGCAAGTGAAGAGCAGGCCGCTACAAACCAGCAGTTGCCCACCTGGCCTTGGTGCAGGTCATGGGAGCTGATGCCATCCACAAAGAGGCGGGGGTTCTCGCAGATATCCTGTGGAGAGGATTAGGGGAGGACGTGAGTTATAGGGAGCATACAGACACCCACCCACAGCAGAAAGGAGACCCACTCTCAGTGGAGAGATCTCCTCTCCCCCGGGCCCAGTCTGTGCCCACCGGAATCCAGCTCTCCCAGGGCCTGCCTGGATTTTTCCATGGAGATGGGCGTTAGGCAGAGTAGGAGGTGGTACAGGGCAGGGGAAGCTTTGAGCGGAAGGAAGTCTGACCAGGCAGTCCTTTCTGCCAAGGACTGTTCCACAGGACACCACCTGGGAAATGACTCACGCCCAGCAGGCGGCCCTAGGCCCTTCTGAATTTCTGGAAAACCCAGTTCTACCCATCGGAAAAGCCAGCCTGCCCTCCACAACTGACCCTGCCCAATGGCTCGGACTAGGCTTTCCATCTTTGTGCTGTGGGGGCTTTTCCATAAACGTTCCCCTGAAGCAGTGCTGTGGGTTGTGCAAAATGGGCCAAGGCTTCAGCCTGGACACTGAATGCCAGATCCTGGCCCTGCAATTTGGTGAGCTGAGTCCTTTGGCACCACACCAGGTGTTATCACCTAAAAAGTGGGAGCAAGAATTCCCATCTTGTGAGGAATCAACACATGGAGAGCACCAAGCCCAGGGCCTGATCCAAAGAGAGTGGAAGTCTGTTTACATTTTCAGAAGCTGGGAGGTCATGCCCAGATCTGTCCAGCTAGCTCCAGCACCAAGACAGGCAGCCTGCAAAGCGTCCCTTATCCCAGGTCCCACAGCTGTTAACGTTCCTCCCCCAGGCTGATTCCTGAGGCAGGGGCAGTGAGAGCACCCAGAATGCACCCAGGTCTGGCCCAGACACCTACAGTAACCTGGGTGCCTGATGTCTGCTCAATGGGCCAGGCTGGGAGCAGGGCTGGCCATGGGGTTCTCTTCACCTTCCTAGTCCAGGACTCTGCGAGGGGCGTGCGTGTATGACAGGCCCACCCTGGACTCCTCTTCCTCTCTCATCAGCATCATCACTCCATAGAACTATGAGAGAGTGACAGTTCCTCCCCCACCCCTGAGGATGGGCTGATGAGGGCAAACACTGGCATGCCTTCCACATGCCAGGCACCCTGCTGGCACCATGCTCTTGCTTAATACTCATCCCGGTCCTCAGAGGAGGCAGTGTTGTGCCCAGTTTACTAAGGCCCAGAGAGGTTGAAAAGCATGCCACCCAGCATAGGCAGCAGGGTAACAATGGGCCTCCTTGCCAGTCTCCACTGCAGCAGGTGCTCCTGAGTTTGCCAGCCTACCGCAGGCGGCCAGCAGAGGGTAGCAGAGTCAGGAAGTGGGCTTTCGAATTTCAGCTCCACCCATTTACGGACTCAACTGTTTAAGACTAGTTCACTCAACCTCTTTGTGGCTCCAATTGTTCCCTGCAGGGGTGTGTAAGAGCTCAAGGGGTTCACGGAGGCAGAGCACTTGGCCCAGGGCCTGGCTCAGAGAGAGGGCTGGTACCTACTGCCAACCCCATTAGTAACAGGTGGCCACTCAGACCCTTCTTGCAAGAAGCTGCTTCTCTCCCTCCTCCAACCTGGAGAGGAGTTCAGACAGAACCGTGACAGCATGTCCATCAGGATGGGCAGGGGACAGGCTGGGGTTTGCTCAGGCCCTCACGTAAGACTCACACAGAGGGAAATACATCAGGCTTGTATGTGTGGTTACTTTCCTGCAGTGCTCCTCGGATTCTGATCCCTGAAGACACCTCCCTCCCCTCACTGGCCATAGCCTGATCTTACACATTGTTGTTGTTGAGTGCCGTGGAGTCGGTTCCGACTCATAGCGACCCTGCACAGGGTTTCCAAGGCTGTAAATCTTTACGGGAGCAGAATGCCTCATCTTTCTCCCGCGGAACCGCTGGTAGTTTCGAACTGCTGACCTTGCGGTTCACAGCCTGATTCGTAACCACTACGCTACCAGAGCTCCTTACACATGCTACTTCCAAAATGCCTCTGGACTTCAGCACTACTTCTTCATCTCTTACTTGACCTACCCCCTCGCTATTTCCTATGTTTCAGGCTACCTCCTCCAGAGCAATCTCTATAACCCACAGGTCAGATAACAACCCCGTTCAGAAACTGCCTGTTACCCTCAGGAGAACATTGCCTTCGGGGCCTCACCTCACCTCACACAGTGCGGCCCTGTAAACCCATAAAGTATAATTTCAAAGTTTTCCATCCACTCAGGTCTGGCCCTTTATCCAAGCTGGGCCCTCAGTCTTGCTGCCTTATCCCTTCAGGCAAGGCCACGGAACCAAATACCATTTGTGGGCACCTGGAGCCTGCCCTTACCCCAAGGAAGTGGCTGTGTAACCCTCTCTACCAGACCCTAGCCCCATGGGCAGAGCCAGGACCCTCACAGCTAGCACAGGGTCTGGGACGTGGTAGGAGCTTCTCTGTGAATGAATGAATGAATGAATGAACGAACGAACGAACGTGGTGAGCCCTCCATGAATTAATGAATGAACAACTGGAGGACAAAAGAGGGGGCTCCCATCTCCTGCCTCTTGAGTCCAATGTTTCTTCCACTCCCAGAAGCTCATTAATGACCACATAGACACTTGGGACTCTCAGTGCCCATGAAAATCTGTTCAAACGGCAGCTCAGAGGGCACAAAAACAGGCCAAGACTGTGGTGGGCCAGAGCACACCCACTGCAGTAACCTGCTCTGTTGTGGTGACTGGAAGCCCTCCACAGAGTGGGCATCAGAGGAGGGGGAGGGAGGACATGTGTCCATCACTTGCTGGCCACATAGCACCTTCTCACCTTGCTCATGTGAGGTGTGCTCATCTTGTCTCCAAGGCCACATTGTCAGAAAGCAGAGGCTGCCTCCTGCCAGCCTCCTTACCTTATCTCCCAGTCACTGCCTGTTCCACATGTCCAGCCCAGCTCTGAGGCAGGGGCAGCTTTGACTTGTTATCTACTTCCCTGAGACTCCAAGGGCAGACAGGGTGGGGGTGGGATCAGGCCTGGGGCAGAGATGGCATCTAAAGTGACCTCCACTTCAGATACCCCCAGCCGGGTCCCTGAGAAGGAGATGAATACCCCAGTCCACACTGAAGGAGGTCGAAGCCTGCTGGGTTCCCTGGATTCCCTCCACCGATCAGCTACTGCTAGGACAGAACTGTGGCACAGACCCTAACCTGTCTGGTCCTGTCACCCCAGAGGACAGCTCTGGCTCTGGACACTTGTCCAGCCCTTGAAAGAGAGACCAGGCTCAGCAGTCAGGGGTCCCGGTCTGCAGGTATGGTTTTGCCCTGACTTGGGAGCAAAGACCACAGGGAACAGGGACAAATCAGTTAGCCTGGGAGGAAGCAGGGAGAGGAGGCGGTGGTGGAGAGGCATAGGGGCATCCTGGTATGGCACTGTAGACTAAACACTGGACTGCTAACTACAAGGTTGGCAGTTCAAACCCACCAGCTGCTCCTTGGAAACCCTATACAGAGTCTCACTGAGTTGGAACCGACTTCACAGCATTTAACAACAACCACCTAGAGTCCAGAGGCACCTTGGGACACCTCGAGTGGAACAATTACAGAAACAATTCACAGTGACTGGGCACCTGACCAGGTGGGTACTGTTAGCATTGCCAGAAATCTAAGGTACGGAGAGGTTCGGTAATTTGCCCAGAGACACACAGAAAGAGGTGAACTGAGATTCCCACGCAGACTGGCTTCTGAGTTTCCACGAGGGCTAGGGCTTATAGGTGACAAAGTTACCCCAGAACCCTAATCTGAGACAGCTTAGAGGGTCTCGCCACATAGCAATGAGAATGGAGGAGTCAGGGGCAGCCCAGGCCCGCACCCCCACCATTGGGGGACCAGATTTTCTCAGGACTGTCACTGCACACTTGTTTGTTTCCAGAGCAGCAGTTGAATACGGGCAGAGTGGGACAGAGAAGGGTCTGTCTGCAGGCAGGTCCCTAGGAAGGGGACTTGGACTCTAAGCCTGAGTTAGCAGAGCAGTGACAGCAGAAGCCCAAAGAGAGATCGGAGGAGGCTGCCTGGAGGCAGTGACACCAGCAGAGCCGGCATGGAGAGGGCTGGTGGGCAGGGAAGCTAGGAGTGGGGACGGAGATTCAAAATGCCCCTAAGATGAGGCCAGCCACAGCCTGGAGACAGATGCTGCCTTTGGTGTGGCCTTCCTCTGGGCCCAACTACCCATGTGCCCCTTCCAGCACTGCCCACACTTGGGCTCACCTCTGGCTCTCCTCTCCCCCACCAGCCTGCCCAGGTGCAGTCTCAGGAACAGGGTGTGGCAGGGTTACAGACAGGGCTTCCGGGGAAAGTTAAGGTTAAGTGACCACCTGGGTTGGACTAGACTGAAACCTGACGCCAGGCTGCCCACCTAAGGGGTGGGATGGGGACCGCTCCTCTGGCCAACATACCTCAGGGCACGATGATGTGCACCTGCAGTCACCCCCTGACCTCTCAGCCCTCCCAGCCTGTTATACCAGCTCCAGCAGACACAACCGCCTCCCTGCTTGGCACAAGAATAAAGTCAGATTTCATAGCCGGTGCACAAACAGGAATGCAGTCAGGCAGCGGATCCAGGGTGCCCAGGCTGCACCTGCAGGGGCTCACATTTCCTCTTAGCCCCCTCATCTATCCACCATCACCCCCATCAGCAAGCCCAATATCCCCATCTGACAAGTGGGGAGACTGAGGCCCAGGAAGGGAGCGGGAAAGAAAGGCTCAGCAAAGAACGGACAGTGTCCTCCGGAGTTAGTCTATGCTTTGCCTTTCCACAGCAGAATCCCTCCTGCCCCATCTCCTCCCACAGCAAACCCATCCTAAATGTCACCTCCTCTAAGAAGCCTTTTCTTGCCCACTGAGCACAGACCGATTAGGGGATCATTCCTGGGCAAGAAAGACCCCCAGACTGCTGTGTGTGTGCCCCAATGCTAGCCCCAGGTGCAAGCTACCTGTTTCTCAGCATGAAAAACAAAACCACCACCACTGAATTGATTGTGGCTC